GATCAACCTATTTTCTACCGGATTACATTTTCAACTTTATTGTATTGATAGTCGAAGAGTCGAAAATTCAATGAATAAAATTGATAGATAGACCTCTATGTCAACTTGCTCCAATCTGTAAACATTTTTTTATCTGATTTTCGACTTTATAATCAAAACAATAAAATTGAAAAGAGTTTGTTAACCTGCTGACCACTGTTCATAGTTTAATGAACTTCTTATGCTGGGAAATATAAGTTAATGAAATATAACGTTTCATATAAATAGCATCACGCCTTTTACCCCCGAATGGTTAGGCAGAGGTGCACATTACGGCACTTAATGCCACTGTACAATGTAACACCCACTTTTCACTATTCATGTTATTAGTCCCATGTAATAGGGGGTGAGCCTAGTACCGAGACTTTTTTTAATCCCACTAATACTTTACCCGACCCGGAAATCAAACCCGAGACCCCTGGCCCGGCTGCCAACGAGGCAGTAAAATTTTCAATACTTAAAATCTTCCTTGTCTTTTAATTGTCAGTGATTCCTTTAAATAGATAGGTATGACTATGAACCCCCAGTGTAAAGCGAAACACGTCGAGTTACTTCAACATAATTTGGTAAAATTATTTTCATTTTTCTATTTAGACTGCTTGTTCTAATGTGATTGCTATCTCATCAATAGGTACAATTTGTTATTTTTTAATTTCCATTCAGCCTGCCGGTTCCAATATGATCACGAACACAGTTCATGTTCCAATATAATCTGAACAAATTCATTTGGTTAAATGCTTCAGGTAGGTAGGTACTCAATGTAATTTATCAATTACATTTAGAAAATGTTTATGCATAAAATAACCCGATTCCTGAGGATATTTATAGTCATTTACAGCCTAAAAAAACATATTGTAAGGTACAGGTTTGATTACCTCATTACCTTGTATCCTTACCTTATATCCTTCATTTTAATTTCACACTTGTATTTCCCGGCATAATTCTAATATTGGTAATGACATAATTGGATTATGTATTCATTTATTGAGGTCGGCACATTATATATAATAAGGACCAGATATATTGCTCACAAATGGCACTCTCGACTCTAAGGACCAATTTTATGGTAAGGGTCTTAGAAACCCCTTAGTTGTTATATTTAGAGGACTCTTTGCCCCTTACAGGTTCCAATTTATTGGTAAAACTGTGACGGTGTTAATGGGGTACCTAAATACCGCATATTTCCTAATCTTTCCATTCAAAAATTAGACGGATGTTGAAGGTTTTCCATCGTCATAAAAAGGACCAATCTTATTGCCACAATTTTATCAGAATTGTGTTTTCGTCTTACGTATAATTAAATATTTCTCCGTATATGGATTTGGAATTCATATTCATTGTTTGGGAAATAAATTGGCCGCTGCTTTGACTTCAAATCTTGACATTTATAAAGTTAAACAACATACCTAGTGTGGGCATTTGGTCAAGCCGTCTACTAGATAGCTATTAGAACTCATAGAAAATTGTCATTCAACGAGAAATCTTTGTTCACCATTGGACCTGTGCCAGCCGCTAATGAAGATGATGACTGTGACATCAAAATAGCTATTATCTCCCTGGCTTTGTTTAATTGGTCCTTAGAAACGAGATTGAATAAAACGGAATAGAATCTAGAACAGGCACACTTGACTACCACGTCACGTAGCTAAAAGGCTAAGCCTTAGTACTAAATACTCATTGTAATGCACACAATACCACAACACACGCCTTTATAATAACAAACAAATACAATTGTCTTCAATAAAATACAGTAATTGTTTCCTAAACTAATTAACAGATAAAAAACTTACTGTAGTCGTCGTAAATTATTTTGTATACAACACTGTTAGTTCTGTAGTGGTTTTCTCGTTTCCTTTACGAAACTAATTATTTTAATGTCATAATTTCATACAATGTTGCATCCACACGCTTATAAATATATTCCTAATGCAAGCAAGCTGTAATAAGAAGGGAACTTACGTAATACGAAGCGACACTATTATTTTTTTAATACATATTATAAAAAATCTAGAAAATGTATAAATTCACAACCTATTAAATTTGTCTATTAATAATCCGTGTGATTATGATTTTATGTTAGTAATAATAATAATTATGATCGTTATTTTTTGAATAATAATCTCTAGAGAAATTATTTGCAAATAATTGAATAATAATTTATTTTTTATTACATTTTGATCTTACTGCGGGGTTTAGGCCTTCTAATTAATGAATTGTGATTTATTATTAATATTATAATAAATATATAACTATGTAAACAATTTAAATAATTACTTAAGTACATAAGATTTTTATAACAGTAACAGATACAGTTTTTCAACCAGGCCAATAAAATTTGCTATAAACGTAATATTCTATTTTTATTATTTTATGTAATTGTAAATGAAACATGTCAGGTAAAATAATATTCAATTATCATCTAATATTACCTAATGTTAAGTTTTTGAATAAATAAATTTGAATATTATTCATCAACAGTTTATAAACTCATGAAATATTTAATGAAAGAGATAGAGATATAAATGGCTGTTATAATCTAGAGAAGGCAACAATCTAACTGGACAATACACAATCTTATAATTAAGAAATACAATACATTTATGAGGAATAATTACCTATTCTTCAATTTTTCCTCCATTTATGTGAAATAAATAGAAATTTAAGTATTAGCATTGAATTGTGAGGTTATTAAATTAAAAGTTGGCCTCATAAACATAAACAAATAAATAAGAAAATATATGAATTTTTAGGCATAATTTTAGTGATAAGTAGAGTAGAATGGGGTAGACGACTAATTTTTATTTTAATGTCCGTCTGGTAGATTATTTAAAAACATTAGACACGTATTTTTTATTTTCTCACAGAAACGAATAGTTTCGAAGATATATTGATTTGAAATGTCGCGTGACGTCACTTCTCAGTACATTTTATACTAAGGAATGACGTTTTAGCCCCCACTCCTAAACTTTGATTCGTTTTATCTAAGTATTGTTTTATTATACGACAAAATAAAAAAATACGTGTCTAATATTTTTTCATTACCTAACTTACGGACTAATTATATTTTTAATTTTCATACCCTGTCATCATCCCCATTATTTATTTGCAATGAATGTAATTCTAAACTATTAGTTGTTACAAAGTTTTAAGGTTTCTTGTACATACACTCTACTAAAAAAATAGAATATAAAATAAAATAGGATAATTTTGTAATAACAATAATAAGAGTTAACCCTTAAATGCATGATTTTTTATTTTTATTTTAAAAAAATGGTTTCCGATAGTTTTTGGGCCGTAGGTTAAGGGAAAAATAATGAATAAAATCTTATGACATGACGTCTGGGGGCTTACTCTTGAATCCAATTCCGATCGATGGACATTGGTATTGTGAAATTTCGTACTCTATGTTGCAATACTAGCGCGCATTGCATTAATATTGCGTGGATATTTAATGAACGAAATGGAATTGAGTTTGTCTTTATATTCCGTACTCTGAATGCTATTTTAACAGCTACGATAGGGGTTCTATAGTTTTGAAATTGAATAATTATTGAAATTTTATTGGATTTAAATTGTATTGACATTGAGATTAGTTTCAAGAGTAAGCACCCTGGTCAGATTATAAATAATTTGAATAGATTTTTATTTATGTCAACACAATAGGTATATTTTCTTTAACGTAAACTAGTGATGATTTCCTTAAATAAAATGGCGGCCAGCTAAAACACCTTTAAATCTACCTATGTTCTAGTCAAGGGTTTTAAATTGGACGAACAAAAATCCAAAGGAACTGTGATTGTCTCAGAATATTTTCTTATATAATTAGGCACAACATTAATCAGTAAAATATAGCAAAATCCGACGACTAGTACACCATAAGTAGTTCATAAGTTACTGATCTTTGTTACGCTAACAAAATCATAATTACATTGTTCCCATAAAATGTTCATTTAAATTAAATTTAGATATTTTTTTTATTTTATCTTCCATGTCATAAAATGTGAATAATAAATGTCTTTTTTATATTACGCCCATTTCATTTTATTCAACAAAAAATATAATTTTAATTACAACGCCAAAAATATTAATTGTGAAATTGTATAACGAATTTTGTTAAATGTCATTAAGATTTTCGATAATAATTATAATATTCTTATTACAATAATGTCTACAGTCACTGCATTCTTTCTATATATTTCATTCAAATAATTATCATTCAGATACTCAAATCGACTCTAGACTAATTATTTATTTTTCATAATAATTATTTATTGTCTTATTTTATTGTCGTAGTTAAGATAGGAAAGCTCGATAAAATATTAACCAGTATAGTTAAGTAAGATAGATACTTTCGCTATTCTTGAGAATTTGGGAAATATAATTATATTTTTTTCTATGTAATTATCTCTAGGGAGAAGTAGAGAGGTAAAGTGTGGACCACTGCAATCTTAAACAAACTAACTTTAAATGAAACTATTTAGATATGGGTGTAAGGATATGCGAGTAAATTATTTTAATTTTTTTACTAAATATTCTAAAGATTAATATCGCCCACCATAAAATTACGTGGCGTATTTCTTTTTATTTTATTTAAAAAATGTTTAAAAGCACAGCCAAAATTTCGCGGTGGATTCGATATAATTTTGTTCCTACGTACAAATTGTTCTCGAACGTTCGTATTTACTTGAAAACTTTGCAATCTTTAAGCCACTTTAAATACGGGGAACTATTTCTAATCTACATTATTTATAATATTTGAGACGATCTTATATCAGAAGGTGACACAGACAATACGAGGTGTTCTTACTGAAGAACACACGTTAACATGTGACCATACAATCAATAGAGACCCGCAACTTCTTGTCTTCCATAGTTCTGTCCCGAGTAACATTTCCTTAAAACCTTTTCTAATCTACGTCTAAACCAAAAGTCTTCAAGTAAATACGAAATGCTCTAACTCTTTACCTTTTCGGCGACAAACTCTGAACGTAATTTGGGTCCATCTCATCGAGGTCCTTGCCTTTAGTTTCTGGGACACAGCAGACCACGAAACAGAGACCTCCTACACTTATAGAAGCGTACAACCAAAACGCGCCGTGCAATCCTAACGTTTGCTGGAAGTCTACAAAGGTCTTGACGCCGACAAAGGCGCAGAGGTAGCTGAATGCCGTCGCCATAGCACTGCCAAACGCCCTGTACTCCAGAGGAAACAACTCTCCAATCAATAGCCAAGATATAGGACTCATACCCAACGAAAACGCAATCGTAAACACTAGAACACAAAGCAATGGAATCCAATCATTTTGCCCTATAGTCTGGTGGAACATTACGTTCTGAATTCTTTGATTGCGGTGCACCTCTTCATAGTACGCGTAACTTCCGAACCCTGCGAGCGCCATAGACATCAATACAGAACTGACTATCAGTAAAGGAAGACGACCAACAGTGTCAATAAGCAAGCCGGACAGACAAGACGCGAGGAGCTGAACGAAGGACACAGCGATAGCAGCTCCATGAGGGTTCATGCCACCAAAAGTCTTCCTAAATATTGGCACAGCGTAAAACGAAAACGCGTGTGCTCCAGAAAATCTTTGAAACATCATTAGGCCGCATGTCACTAGAATTGGTCCTAAGAGCCGGTTCATGGTCCTTACGTCCAAGGAGTTGATGAGTTGACTCCCTGACATTTGACTCTGTCGTTGGCTGAAGTTCTTACTGGCGAGGACGTTTGTGCGGATCGTGGCTAACTCTTGAGCAACATCAGAGTTAGGACCACGTAACCAGAGCAGACTTTTGTATGCTTCTTCATCTTTCCCTGTGAGAACGAGGTAGCTCGGTGTCTCAGGTATGTACAGAACGGTACAGAAGAGAAGTAGAGGGGCTGCAGATATACAGAGTGCGAGCTGCTGCCAGTCGAGATAGGCACCGATGGTGAAACTGAAGAGGACGCCAAGATGGCCGACTATCTTGAGCACGGCGCTGAGACAGCCGCGGATGTCCGGGACTGATATCTCACTGATGTACACCTGAAATTGTTAAAGTATAATAATCAATTTGTAGTTATGCCGCTGTGCTATGTTGGGTTTGATCTAATGGATAGCTTTTATCAGTGTTGACTAAGAGTGGACAGTTGTTCGTAAATAATACTTAGAGAAAATATTGAAGAAGCTTTGAATTTCTTTTGTGTTTCTAATTAGTTTTAAACAACGACTACTAATTACAAAGTTAGTGTTAAAATTACGAAGAATTCATCAAACAAACGACAAATTAATTTAATTTTAACCGCTTTCGAAGTAATAAATAAGTAATTCGGCCGTTAGAAGTTTCCCTTTCATTTGAATTTTCTTGGATTGGCGGCCGGAGCTGAGCCTTGGGCGCCGGCCGGCATTACGAACTCAACAAACTTTAGGACTTTGTCAAATTACTTAAACTGGGGTAACCATCATATACTACGAAAGTATTCTAATAAAGAAAACCAGAAGAAGACAAATGTTGAATAACTTATATTAAGGACAAATCCAACAGATGTAGGTATTCGTTTTAAGATTGCGCTGTCATTTCTTTTTTACTTGTACATTAGTAATATTACATACATTTAGGGAAATATCTATTAATATCCAAAATTATGTACTTGATATTAAAGCCAAAAAAATTTAAAGTGACTTACAAATTCTTTTACCTTTATTCCTTTCGATATTTGTGAACTTTCTACAATTTATTGGATTAACTAATTTTTAAAAGTAACAACTACTTTTATTTCCAAAATCCCTACCATACGTATACATTTGAACATACAAAATTGACTTTCTAATCTTCTATTATCCAGTGTGAGTAGGCACTCATCTTCCAGATGACCCTCATCTCAGATGAAAAACTTTAATTAAGGCAAAGTTTACAAGAAAATGCTAAAAAGATGAAGATCAAAGTCGAGTATCTACATAGCCAAACAACTAAGTACAATGGAGATTCGCTTTGTCTTTCATCTGCCTCGAGGCGTGGTCAACTCACTAATTGACTAAGACATGCGGGCCAAGAAATTGGTCCTTCGAGCCGAACTCTCCAAAACAATATGCTACGTAACACAAACGTCTGAAGGTCGGTTTTCCGTTATCTACAAGAGAATCAAATTGAAATGTCTGTACAAATAATTGTCTAAACTTGCAATGAATTATTTGACAGGTGAGTTATCTGGTGTTTAAATCTATTTGAAGCGTTCTTAGACAAAGCTGTCTAGTGTTTGAGTCTTTGTAACTATTTGCTTTATTACTATAAACCAAAACAAATAGTCTTCTTATAACCAATAAGATAAGACTATTTGTGTTGGTTTACGGAAATTTTAAGTGTTATCCTTTCATGTCTTAGGATTATCACAATATTGGATGGAGAGTTCGACATCTAAACATCTAAACTATAAGAATGTTTACTGACCACTGAATTCAAGTTTTTGTTTAAGATTTAAGACGTAGTTGGATGGTTTCCAAACCATCACACTACTAAACTACATATCAACTACAACTCAAAGTTCCTGTTTAAACTGAAACCATAACATTTAATAAAGTATCCATTTTACATTGAATACCACCAAATATGACTCCTTGAATAAACCAAAATAAAGATCAAAAACTTACTTGCGACAGCATAGTCAATATAGAACAGCAGAATCCTCCCAAGAAGGCGGTGATGCACATCATCCTGACAGAGGTCGCCACGGTAGTGAGCAGCCAGGAGAGACTGCAGGGTGCCGCCGCCAGGGACAGCACACGACGACGACCGTGGCGCATCGCAGCACCGCCTGCCATGCCACCGAATAGAGCGCCTGGAAGGACCAAGAAAAGGACCATAATATTTGTAAGACGTGGTCTATAATGAAATTGGGTAGGTCTATACACGACATAATACCGTGCTTACAAAGCTTTTTTATGAGATAAGCCGGTAAACGAACAAACGTATCACCGATGGTAAGTAATCGGCGTCACCCATGGACACCTGGAACACCAGAGGCGTTACAAGTGCGTTACCGGCCTACAAGGCAACGAAAAATGAATGTACTCTACGTCATTATACGTAAAAAGAGCACAGGCTCTTTTTACCTACATAGGTTGATGATAATTAAATGGGGTATTTTGTTTGTAGAATTATTTTGATTACTGTTATTTATAAGGTTTCTTAACCGCTTGAATGCCTGTATATGAGACACAATAGAAAATACATTGTGTCTCGCGTGGATCCACGTTTAGACACACTACGGGTGGATGGTGGAGGAAAATGAATAATGGATTCCTAATTGGCCAATATTTGCACGAAATGGTACGTTTGTCAAAACATAGTTACAGACTTCGGAAATAAGTTTCCAATGTCTGTAAAACTTGAAATTAAATAGAACCCATAGTGATGCACGTGTTCAACTTATGTTTATCAACATTTTTATTGTTATTAATGCAAAAAGAAATATTTATCACAAATTATTTTGAATTCACACCTTCGTACCTATCGACATATTTCCTTTGCAAGGAATTTTCCCGAAAACATATTGTGACAAAATTCCTGTCGTTTATAAACTACATTAATTTTTAATTTTTTTCTATGAGAAAATCCACAAATTCCGTCCGTGTAATATTTATGAATAAAGTTGAGTGTCACGGTGTTATAATATGCAGTGCATGGCCCATACATCATGTCTTTACGGACTCCAAGAATTTTAATTAAATTCCCTTTTCGGCCCAGAGATGTTACTACGCAATACTGATGTCAGGACAGTTATTTTGTATAATGTATCAAGTTTAATAGACTTTGGATAATATGTGGGTGATTGTGGTTATTTCTCGCCATTTCTTTTGTAATTACCCATATTCTGACAGTTTGAGTATTTGTGCGACCCACGCAAATGTTCTTTATGTTGATATTGTTCGTCGAATTAGTCAGCCTCATCTGTTAATTGAGCTGATTGTAAACCGACACATACGTACTGCCTTCAGAGCGGGTCCGGTCAAACTGTTGTGGTTCTTTCCTCAAAATCCCACTACAGAAAGAACTTGCACGGTTCTCACACATAATCTTTTATACATATTTGTCTGGACTTTAAAAGAGACAGACCTCTGAGTTTGTTTCGGCATTTCTTCTCAGAGTAGTCAGTTAGGAAATGTCGACCTCATCGTTCGCTTGATAAAATTGACGTGTAAAAGTGCTGCCTTGTAGCCTATTTGCAGAAATAAATTCACTTGTTTCACTTGATTCAGTCATTCTATTACTTACTTATAATTCCGGACGCAAAAAGAGGGTTGTTAAAATTTTTACTATGCTTTGTTCTTTGTCTATATTTCTTTTCAAACGTTGTCCTACATTCGGATTTATTCCTATGATATGCGTACATTTACAAACATACAAGTTCACATACACATAACACCCAGACCCAAAACAACAATCTGTGGATCACACAAAGAGTTGCTCCGAACGGGAATCGAAACCACTACACGTTGCGCGGCAGCCGTGCAGTCTGTCCAGCTGTTCTGTGTCTTACTATGACACTGAAGCTCTTGAATAACACACAGTATTGATAACTGCACGAAAGAACTGTTTGTGTGATCCATCAATTGCTGTTCAGGGTCTGGGTGTGATGTGTTTTCATCAGTGTTTATCAATGTATGCTTGTACCCACGACATAGGAGAAAATCCTAGCGTAGATTATATTTTTCTAAAGAATAGTAAATCCGTTTTTCGTTTACCTAGAAAAGACAGTGAAGCAAGCCACGACGCCTGTTGGTCAGTCAGCTGGAAGTCTCTTCTAGTGGCATTGGCTCCTGGTCCCTGTAGGGACGCTATGGCAGGGGAGCTGTACCCCTTGCCGAGACCTGCTGAGAAGGGGGCCAGGGACACTGCTAGAGCTGCCAACACCTGTAAATAAAACAGTCATTCAACATACCACGTAATATCACCCTTTTAAACCCCCAATGTACACTTTCTAATGTGCAGAAGTGCTCATATGTTATAGAGCACTTTTACCTACTAAGGAGTGGTCGTGGACTGGACATAGATTTTTTCACCTGTATTTTTATGTGTTACGTTATAAGTTAACATTATTACCTACTAGCGTCTGCCCGCGACTTCGTACGGGCAATCCCGATATTTCCCGTTCCCGTTCTTGATTTTCGGTAAAAAGAATTGGGTAAAAAGTAGGTATCCTATGTCCGTCTCCTGGTTCTAAGCTACCTCCCCACCAATTTTCATTCAAATCGATTTAGCCATTCTTGACTTATAAATAGTGTAACTAACACGACTTTCTTTTATATATATATATAGATTTAATAAAGAAATAATCATAGAAATCGGTATAGAAACACCAAACTTATCCATACATGAAATACGTTAATAAGCCGTGGCGACTATCGCGCGTAATTACTGTATCATGCTATAAGGATTATATTTTGGTGTTTGTGTTTGTTACTCAGTCATATTAAAACGACTGAAGGGACCGGAATGAAATTCGGAACAGGGTAAATTAAGGTCTGAAGTCATCATCATCATCAACAGCCTACAAATGCCCACTATTAAGCAAAGCCTCTTCTCACACGGAGAAGGTTTGAGCATTAATCACCACGCTTGCTCAATGCTTTCGACTGCACGATTGGCGCGGTGGCTGGGCAACGGCTAACGTGCAACGTGTCGCGGGTTCGTTTCCCGCACGGAACAACTCTTTGTGTGGTCCACAAATTGTTGTTTCGGGTCTGAGTGTCATATGTATGTGAACTTGTATGTTTGTGAACGCACCCACGACACAGGAGAAAATCCTAGAGCGGGGCAATGTTTTTAAAAAAAAAAAGCGGGTTGGCGATTACAAACTTATAATTACAAATTATAAGCCCAGGTTTTCTCATGATGTTTTCCTTCACCGTTTGTCAGTGGTGTCTAGATCTTGGAAAGTACATATAACTCGGAAAAAGTCACATTGGCAATTGCCGTTGGTAGGTTTCGAACCCGCATCCTCATGCATGAGAAGAGGGCGTCGTAAACCTCCGGGCCACCACGACTCCGCTATATCTATGTATACTACTATGTGTTACTTCAGTATACGGCTCCGGTATACTGAAGTACCTAATACATAAGCATTTTACCCCTAGGATCGCGGGAGAAGTCGCTGGCAGAAGTTAGTTTATAATATTATAGTAAGACGTAAGATGAATATTAAGTTTTAAATAGATTTTATTCGTTTTCATGAATTGGCTAATTAGCCATACGTGAATTAGTATGATAAACCACGTTGCGTAAACGATTTTAAACACCTCAGTACTAAAGACGTACCAGGTAGACAACGTTCTTCAAACCATCATCGGATCTTCAATTTCGTTTACCGAAAGATGTTGATAAACAAATAATGTATGTTAATATCAACTCGATCTATTCGTGAACACGTTCGAACGTGCCGAGCGCTGCTACACCGGCAAAGCTTCAAAAAAACCTTTTTTGTTAAAAACTCTTTACAATTTTGTTTGGTAAATAACCACTATCGGTGATTCTGTTTGTTGAACGTCGCTTCGAAGACACGTCTTACGGAAGATACGAATTTTAGAATTAAAGCGGTTTTCAATTAGGTATGTATCTATTGTTGTAAAGAGCAGTGTGGACCTGTGGACACATTTGTGCCACATGAAATTTTAATTTTGATATAGATTATTATTTAGTTCTTAACCCCTCGAGCGTCCTTATGAGCACCCGGTGGATCATATGAAAAAATGCTCAATGCTACTTTCTCCTTTATAAAATCTATTATTAATATTTTGTTTTTATTTTGACTGTATTTTTTATTTCTATTGTAATGATCCTTGTTTTCGTGTGCCAATGGCGAAATAAATGCATTTTCTTTCTTTCCCCAAATGTCACGTGCGCACCCGTTGGGTCATAAGATACGCGGACGCTCGCTCGCTCGAATTATGTTTTCTGCTTACTCACGTAACTGTTTGACGAGGAACTCCACTAGTATCAAGCCATGCTAGAGGCTCATATTCATGAGCAGCACTCCGCAACCCGCGACGTGGCGTCTGTCGTGCTGCTACTATGCTACTGTGATGCGTAATAATGAAAAGCATTCGTCCTTGTGCTAGCAGGAAGCATTTAAAAAACCCGATACTTCTCCGACTGACCCTAATAAAATAACAATTTTCAAACGTTCTCTAGATAATGTTTATAAGTAAAATAGTAGGTACTTACGAAACTGATAATTATGTTAATCGTGATAATACTTATTATGAAATTAATTTGTTAAACAACGTAATTTTTAAGAAACAATACCTACTTCTCCACTCACTAAATATTAAATATTTTGTTTAGACGAACACAACACAGACAATATTATTTATTATTATAACATTTTTTTTTATTTTTATCACAGAGTTTAGCATTTTTTTTTTATTGTATAACACATATACATTTTTCCTACAATTTACGCGGCCACGAGGGCGTTCTATATTTTTTAACAAACAAAAAAATAATAGTTTTTTTTTTGAGTAGGTATTTGTCATAAACAAAGAGGTTGCATTTAAAAATTCTTAATAAAGTAAATTACTGGCTGATTCCTGTCAAAAAAAAAGATTAGATATGCCATAAAATATAATTAAAAAAGAAATATAAAAATAAAACTTATATGGCATCCTTAGTTTTTCAACGTATTACGGTCAGTATCATTTTACATGATACCTATTTGGTCACGCTGACGTTTGTTACAGTTTATTAGTTAAAATTAAGTTATTTTGTAATTTGTTTATTATGCTGTAAATATAAATAAAAACAGGGAATACTTTTTAACATTTTATGCATGTGCATGTGCTGGATCTCGAGAAATGACACCGAAACCAAATAATAAGAAAAAAAATAAAACTTTTTTTTAAAGGCTATGTAAGCATTGTAATGCATTTTATTTAAAAACCATTTGATAAATTAATGAGAATAGGCTATTTGACAGGTTTTTAAAATCCATTTTATATTATGTAGTAGAGTTTAAGGAACCCAGTAAAAGTTGTTTTTTTTTATATTTGGTATGTATTAGCTGAAAAACATCGAATTAAAAATTCAATATTTAAATAGTGTGCCAAAATGCTACTTTGACAATATGGCGCTGCAATGAGGTCGGTGACATCACTTGTCTGTTGCCTGTATTTATCTGTGACATCGGGCATATTATTATAATATTTTATATTTGTTTTGTATTTACAAGCAGGTAGCGTCATGATAAACTTGACCAATCAGGGGCGTTTTGAGTCACATGACAAACGTTTAAAAAATTTTACCGACTGGAATGGCACCGACTTCTCACCTATCAGTGGGTGTGTAAGCTATAAGTACGTATGACCACTAATAGTTATTTTATCCTTTTTAGTTTTTACTTTTCGTTTGTCATTAGTTTTTGAAGTCGATTTTTTTTAAATAACTATTATTACCTATCTATACTAATATTATAAAGAGGAAAGATTTGTATTTCTGTATGTTTGTAATGAATAAACTCAAAAACTACTGAACCGATTGCAATAATTTTTTCACCATTCGAAAGCTGCATTATTCAGAAGTAACATAGGCTATATACTTAATATCACGCTAGGTCCTATAGTTGTGAAGCAGTAACCAAAAATGTTTTAAAAACGGGGGAAAAGTATCGTTTCTGAGGCCTTCCGTGGCGTGCGCTGAGCATATAGTTAAAGTTATACAAAAATGTTCTATAGATGAATTGTTTATCTTAACATTATTTTTAAAAAAGTCCGCGAGAGCATATGTCTACCTTTTATAGTTTACCCATAACAATCGTTTTAATGAATGGTTCAATCCTTATAAAAGTTTGCTCTAGATAACTTTTGAATTGTTCAATCGGTTACCTTAAGACGCGACATCGACAACGGAGGGCAGGTCGCTAAAAAAAAAAAAAACTGAGAATAAATATAAATAAAACGTAAAACTATGTAAAAAATCTTAAGTCCCCCCGTGCGAAGCCGGGACGGGCCGCTATATTATATAATTTAGCCTATCATTTGATTTAAATAATAGTCTGCCAATAGTCTATTTGTTCAGTGAAGCTAGGTGCTCATTCCAAAATGTAGATTTGAATGGAGAATAATGAGCAATAAACTCCATTCGTTTCTCTTTTAAAAACAAGGGCAGGTATTACGTAACTTGCTTTTACAGAATGATGAATATTCATTCGAGTTGCTACCGACTGGATAGTAGTACTTATCGAAGTACTCTTAATATAGTATTCTCTTTGACTACAGAAGAAAAATATTTTTAACTGAAGCTGCAAGTTGAAAGCTGGTACTCATGTAATAGAGTTGAAAATTCAGTAACATTTACCAAAATAATCCTAGAGATATATTTATATATTTCCTTTTCGTCCCGAAGTAAAATGGTTCTTTCTTGGTATTTATTTTTTATTGGAATAGGAGGCAAACAAAGATATGAATCCACCTTAAGGTGAGCGATCAGCGCCGCCTATGAATACGGTACCCGCAACACCAGAAGAGTTACAGGTGCGTTGCCGGCCTTTCAAAAAGGAATACAATAGTTTTACAAAGAAATAAAATTTTAAAAACAAAAAATTACTCGTGAAAGCGCATACGAACTCATAGCACATTTTCAAAACATGTAACTGTAATATGAACTAATCCTAGAATTAGTAATATTGTGAGTGCTCCTTTTGCCTGTGATACAGTTCCCCTTCTTAGTACAGGCATTCAAACCTAGTGAGATCTTTGATTTTAAATTAAGATATTTATCTGTACTTTGACCAATTTCTTATAATGAATAAAGATTTATTATTATTATTTATTATTTATGTTATTCTCGAAGAAGTCTTTCTCGAATTTACATCTAGTGATTCATGAGCGTCAGAAGATTGATAGTTTTTTGTAACTAAA